ATGGAAGGGAAAGAAACGGAGAACTTCGATTGGTACATATTCTTATGCATTACGTGTTATGCGTTATGCAAGAGTCTGTGCTCCCCGCTTAAGAGAAATCGAAAAAATTGATTTTCGTCGATTATTTATCATGCACCATTTATCATGAATCGAGAAAAATGTTTCAGACAAATCGTATGTGCTTTTAGCCAAAGATTCCGAATATGCAATAAAAAATAGGGGTTCCCATTTAAGATTTCAAACTTGCCCCCCCTCACCGCCCAGGGGCGGGATGGGGGGGCTGATTTTAACGTCAGTGTATGTCACCCTCGGAATGATGAAATATTGATTCTTAACATTTTTTCTTAGTGTGCTTATTTTTCGAGATATTTGAAAGTTTCAGGTTAAAAAAATCACCCTGTATATATCAATATGTGAAAACCCAATTTTAAAAAAATGGTTTGAATCTGAATTTGTAGCGCAAAAACTAGCCATAGAAGGAGGTTGATCCTATAAAGACATTTGTTTAGAATGAGGACTACAACATATCCAAAACTTAACCAATTCGATATAATTTAACAGAAAGCTAACTTCCATGAAGTTGATATAGAATTCTTTAAAAGGGATTAGTAATCACTAATCGAGTAATACTCAACGTTTTCTTTTAAGAATTAAAATGAATTTTATTCTCATATATATATATGTGTGTGTGTGTGTAAAATAGAATGATGAATCATGAACAAAATTTGAAACGATTTTAATACTTTTTGACTTAGCTTCTTCAGTTTTGTGGTTAACACTTTACATAAATCTATGATTAGAAACAATATACCTTAACATTGTTAACATAATAAAAATCTTAAATTAAATTGAACAGCATAGATCACAGCTCAATAAACCCAATACTCATGAGAGACCATCTCGGTTTGTACAAGTTAGTGAAAATCTTTGATATCAGTAAAAGTTGACAGCATAAGATGTAAATTAAGGGAAAAGGCAAGAGCGTATAGATCGTAGGTTCTAAGAAATTTAGTGTTGGAGTGCATAGTAAAAGTTCTAGAACGGCTAATATCTCAAAAAATATTAATTCATTTAAAAAATGTTTGAACCAAAATAGGATTTTAAAAAAGTTATCAGATGATGATATTAATTTGATCTTAGAATGACCTTGGAAAGTGCTTTCAAAGTCAACACAAAAATCTTAAACAGAATTCTCTTATTATGCCGACCATACTATAACTTTTAAATGCCATAACTTGGAAAGTTCTTATGAAGAAAAGGTTTGTAACTAGTATTCTGGAAACGTCTTAACGTCAGCTATAAAGAGATGCTATAAAAAATAGGGATTCTATTTAAGATTTTTGTGTTGACTTTAAAAGCACTTTCACAAAGTCATTCCACGGTCAAATTAATATCTGATTAAGTCATCTGATGACTTTTTAAAAATCTTGTTACTTTTGTCTCAAACATTTTTTAGATATAAATCAATATTTTTTGAGATATTAGCCGTTCTAGAACTTTTACCATGCTCTATTTTTCACAGTAAATTTCTCGGAACTTACAACCGATATGTTCTTGCCTTTTTCCTTACCTTACATCTTCTGTCAACTTTTATAGCGTATTTCACTGGCAGAACCGGTACGCACTCAGTGCACATTAAAGCTGTTATACATTAACCTAATCTGACTGTAAAAGTGAGAGATCTCAGTTAATAAAATACCCAATGTATATTTTATCAAATATCACAATAAAATATATTAAGGATTTCGTGGTTTAATTTATTTCTATATTTTTATTAAACGTACATTTTTATGTCGATTTGTGTACAACAGCTTTAAAGTGCATTGAGTGTGCACCAGCTCTGCCAGTGAAATACGCTATTACTGATATCAAGGATTTTCACTAACTTATACAATCCAAAATGGTCCCTTGTCAGTGTATGAAATTTCTGAGCATTTTTTTTAAAGAGATTTTCATGTGTGATAAATTTTATAAAACTGTAATACATATACGATACATAATTATTCATACCTATGTTAATTATAACAATAATATGCAGAAAAATTTTATTAATTTTTATCGTGCCGTTTTAAGGATGTATTGGTAGGTAATTATTTAAAATACCCCACCTAAAATCTTAATCAAAATTACTCATTCGACGCGTTTTCACTCAAAACCAAAGAATCTGGCAGAAAATCGCGACGGTCAACCTCATGAATCGAGTTACTAAGCGTTAAAGTTGGAGACTTCAGAGGTTAAGATATCTGTCATCCCAACTCAATATAGCGCTATGTATACGTTCTGGATGCACTCATTAATTATACAAATTCATTGTTTTAAAAACAAATTCTCTGCTTCACAAACACAAATTCACTACTATAAAAACACAAATTCTCTGCTTCACAAACAAATTTACTGCTTTAAAACCACAAATTTACTGCTAATGCAAAGAATTTGTGTTTAAAGCAGTGAATTTTTGTTTTTAAAGCAGTGAATTTGTTTTTTAAGCAGTGAATTTATGTTTTTAAAGCAGTGAATTTGTGTTTTTAAAACAGTGAATTTGTGTTTTTAAAGCAGTGAATGTGTTTTTAAAGCAGTGTATTTGTGTAATTAAAGCAAAATGTATATATAGCACTATATTGAGTCGGGATGATAAGATATTTTTACCCCTAAAGTCTCCAACTTTAACGATTACAACTCAATTCACGAAGCCGACCGTCGCGTTTTTTGTCAGATTCTTTTATTTTGAGTGAAAACCCGTCAAATGAGCATATTTTTATAAAAATTTTAGGTGGGAGGTGGAGTATTCTAAATAATTACTGATATATTAAATTCTAAAAAATACATGTCTGGAATTTTATATTATAAGAGTAATTGTGTGTGTTTACTTCAGCCACTTCAAAAATCAATGAAATTATACTCACTTAACGCGTTTTTATCTCAAACGAATGAACCGAGAAAAGCGTCGCTCCGCCCCGCAATTACAAGAATGCCAATTCGGATGATTTAGGGCCTGCGCACAATAGAGGAACAAGAATTAGATATTAAGATTTCAACCTATCAGAAACCGTGTATTCCGATGTAATCAGTTTCTGATAGGTTAAAATCTTAATATCTAATTCCTGTTCCTCTATTGTGCTCAGGCCCTTTACACCAAAGCTTAGAACATATATAAATGACACAGATGTGTAACGTGATGCTGCGCATGTATATTGGGAATATTTATCCCTTACTACCTTTCTCTCTCGCACAGACGTTTGCATCAGCGCGAGCCATGGGAAGTATAGGCAATGCCCGTTCCATTTATGTATATCCATTAATGTTCTAAGCACCAAAGACATAGAGCGTGCATTCGTTTATGCACCGGTTAGTCCGAATCTACAATAGGTGTTTTATGCCTTATGCCGTAAGAAACTGACCAATTACAGTCGAATCCGAGAAGAATAAGCGACTGTGATTCGCCCATTTCTTATGGCTTAAGGCTTAAAACCCTATTGTAGATCCGGGGTTAGTGTAGTGAGTATCATTTAATCTTTGTTCAACACACGGTGAACAACAAGGATAAAGTAATACTCTGCGCTAACCGCTGCATAAACGAATGCACGCAGAGAATGAACTGCGCGATCCGTGTGTCAAAGGCAAAACGGTCGATAAGGATGAGAGAGAGAGGGACCGTGGCAGACGGCCATTTCTATCTCTTTCCATTCAATGGTGTAATGGGAGAGAGAATGAGAGGGAGATTGGCCGTCTCTCACGGTCCCTCTCTCTCATTATTGTCGACCACATTTGATACATTAGGGGCTCCGCACAATAAAAGGAACAGGGAACGGGTGGCACCCAGTTGGACACGGCTCAATTGGACACGAGCCACTTACAGCGCTTGAGACTACAAACCTCCTAGGCACTGGTCGCTGTGATTGGTGGTGTCCAATCGAGTCGTGATCAATCGGAATCACCCCGTTGAAATTCTTATTCTCCGTTCTCTGTTCCCTGTTCCTTTTATTGTGTGGAGCCCCTTACTTATAGCGTTTTCTCTTGGCTGCACTATCGCCCACTATTGCAACACTCAGACAGAGTACCGTGTTTCCATGGCTGGTGGTAAGCGAACTCATTCGGTGTACCATGTTTCCGTGGCTACGGTGCAAATTTTATGCACGAAGTGGGATTTTGCTACACCGTCTCAAACATAGTGGAATTATACATAATATAATTTCACCATGGTCTCAAAGAGACCGTGTAGAACCAGTGTGATATTTAAAATTTGAAAATAAAAGTCAAGCGGGAACAGAGTTTTAGCATAATAATGATACAGTGTACACCATGGTGTGCACCACTCTAATGTAGTGTAGCAGGCACTGTAGCTGAGTGTAGCGCTTACACGCAACTGGTGCGGTGTGAGACTGCACTCAGTGTATCCCAAGAGAAAACGCTATTAGATACGGATCGCGCAGTCCATTCTCTATGCGTGCATTTGTTTATGCAGCGGTTAGCGTAGAAGTATTACTTTGTTCTTGTTGTTCACCGAGTGTTGAACAAAGATTAAATGATACTCACTGTCTTTGGTTTACACTATCGAGATTAATGGCTCCGGCACACCAGCGCGATGTTTGTCGCGCTGATGTGCCGGAGGCATAACGCCATCAGTCAGCACATTTAAGGTATTTTTTCATGCTTGACGCTCATTTTCGGCTTCAAAATAAGTCACGTGATAAAATGTCTTTTGATGCTCACGCTCGACGCTCATTTTCGGCGTTAAAATAAGACACATGACAGAATTTGACGAATATCAAGCGTCAATTTTGATCACGTTATTTATTTTGACGCTGAAAATAAACGTTGAACATGAAAAGGCACCTATAGAAATTGGCTGCGTTCAGCAGAACGTTTATTTTGCAACTGTTGGAAGTTTTTTTTGCGCTGATTGGGTTATGCTTTTAAATCAAGAGAAATGGTCCAATCTCACCAGAGAATCATAAAACGGTTGCAAAACTGTTGAGTCTGTTGAACGCAACCATTGACGAATATCAAGCGTAAAAGGTACCATTTCATGCAGCTAATGGGTGCTTTCCATTTGATGACACAAGTCGACACAAGTCGGCACAAGCGTCGTTCTATCCTTGTTAACATTCAGAGAGTGATAAAGATAGAACGACACTTGTGTTGATTTGTGTCATTAAATGGAAAGCACCCACTGTCAATAGCGTTTGAGCGTTTGACGCTTGTAGTTAAAACAGTTCAAACTACAAAATTTCAGCCGCTGGATAACGAGCGACAAATCTGTCGCTCCAATTGGTTATTTTAGCAGTACGTGAAAATGTATCTTAAAGCGGGGAGCACAGACTCTTGCATAACGCATAAAGCTGGAAACACAATAGACACAAGCAATAGGCATAGGCAACAGGGAATAACGAGCCGCCCAATCAGAACTTTGGGGTATAAGTTCGATATTATATCCCAGAGCTCTGATTGGACGGCTCGTTATTCCCTGTTGCCTGTGTCTATTGTGTTTCCAGCTTAAGGGTGCCCTCCCATGATAGTCGGATTTCGGAAAACGGAATCTTGGAAAAGTACTAAACCGGAAAATACTAGACTAGAATCAGAAGACACGGCAGTGTCTTGGCAAGTTAGCACGCGCAGTAATATACGCGTTGTGTTCGTTATATAGTTCGTTACGGTTAAAAATTAATAATTGTTAATAAAATAATTATTAATAAATAATTTTTCGATAAATATTGATTAATATATAAGTATTTATTGTTTCCATTATATATATGATTATTGTTGGAGATTACAAAATTGCGTGCTTGTCTGCTTGTCGGTCCGAAATTTTCGTGACTCGGTTTCCCATGATTTTTCCGGAATTGTGAAAAATCGGAAAATTTATTTTAAATATTTTATGAAAAAAGATAATTATGATATAGTAGAAGAATCTGTAAGAAAATAA